TTACCCCCTTCACAAGGCGCTGGGTTCTTGCAGGTGTGGATGTGGTCTGGATGTTGTCCTGTGTCCTGTGGTCTCTATTTTAGGAAGATTTTTCTTTGTTATATTTTCATAGCTCTATGTGTTTTTGGGAGGAGATTTCCACTGCTCTACTCACGCCGCCATCTTGGCTCCCGCCCGATATTTTTTATAGATACACTATAGATATGTTATCTAGATTTATCAAAGCAGTATTGATTGTTGGATCAAATATTAATGTGCAACAAGATTCTATCCTGTTGATTTCCTTTGAATGTTGGAGGTGAAAATTAAAAGGACTGAGAGTCTAGATTTATTTATATCAGAAAGGGCATATATTTGGAGGAGAAATAATTTCAGGAATGGGAAGAGGAGAGAAGTAACTAAGAGCCAATTGGGGGATTAAGAATGTGTCTTGAAAAGTGAAGGAGAAGGCATAGAGATTTGGGGGCACTTACCTCCAGGTGGAAGAGATGAATGCCCCTTGGACATTTTTTAAAGGAGACATAGTAAAGATTTAAGTGGTTTATTGAGATGTGATTAGATATCAAACTGGGTGTTTATGCTGAAAGTGACATGATACAAGAACTGGCCAGTGGCAGCTCCCCTTTAGAGAAGTCACGTATCTATCCCGGCTTTCACGATTACATTCTCTTCAAAGGCAGGCGTTGGTTCCCTCGCTCTCTTGTGCAAGGTCCTTCTACAGCAGTTTTACAGAATTGTGGTAGGTCCAGTCTGGTATGAAGGGGGCTTAGCTGCTCTATCTGTGCCTATGTAAACAGGGCTGGAACCACAGTATGTGGGTGCTGTGGGCAGGCTAATAATCTGGCATCTTCCCAGTATTGATTCAGTGTTATTGAGTGAGAAGAAACAATTTAATAAAAATTGTATACCACATTCTTATGTTCAAAACGAGAGATATATTACATTTGATTTTTCTAAACCCAAAAAACACAACTTGAACTGCTTAAACTTTAGATAACAAACTATGTAAATAGCCCTATAAATAGCACTATGCCATGCATTGTTGGGGTACAGCATCTCAGTCATCTGTGTCTGACAATCCTAGGGAACTGTCAGTTAGTTGGTCCCAGGGCTGTTGGTATAGCCAAGTGTAAGCTCCAAAAAGTCTCAAAGCTAGAGAGTAACCTCCCTGAAGAGCAGCAGGGCTGGGGACCTAGCAGGCATTTGACAATGCCTATTATGTGATTAAGCAGAGATTGTCTAGCCCTGGAGTGGAGCTCTCTCTTCAGTTATGTCAGGAGGTATCTGTAGGATACACAAACTTAAACTTGTCGACACCTTATTTCCTCCTTACTCCACTTGTTTGTGTGCTCCTGATAGCCTGGCTCCCCAGTAGCTGCTCAGCTGGCTACCCCCTCAATGGGGCTGTCTAGAAGAATTCCCTTGGGTTCACAGAGAAGTGCACACTTTTTTTTCTGAGAAATATTAGGCACAGTACTTATGCAAGCTACTGACTGCACACATTCATTGTCATATGAGCATGACCACAGGGAAAGCAGCAGAATTGACATGGGGGGAAGAATTGAGCCAAATTGTCTCCCTCAACTGTATACTGAGATTTTAAAGCCAGAAATGCACTTGGCATAATAAGAATGAATGATTTTCTCAACTTCTTGCAGAAATTAAATGAAATTTTGGAAACCAACAAACAAGATGCTGTCAAAGAACTAGGTAGGTAGTTGGAGCATCTACCTTATTATTCCATAATTTAACCAAATGAAGACAAGTTCATGATCTCATTTAATTACTCATTCATTTATTTATTCATTTGATAAGCATTTATTGAACACATATAATGGGACTGGTATGCAAAAAGGCAGAGCCTGGGAAGGGTATAACAGAAGATAACGACAGAAAGTTAGAGGGGTTCTATTAGCTTGAGTTAAAGTATACTGCAAAAGCTCTAGGTTTTTATACAAAGCTTCTTGGGCCTGCTTTCCTTGTAAGGGGGTCAGTGTGCAGAAGTATATGTTAAAGAGCCTGGCATAAGGCAGGTGCTTAATAAATGGAAATTATTATAAGAGAAATAAAGTAAAACCACTTTGTGTTCAGAACCGCATTGTGTAAGATGCCATATGGACTTATAATGGTCATACTTTCCAAATCTAAATGGAAAGAATATGGCCTAATGAATGAGATGGTAAATTTGGAGACAATGGTCAGAATATTTTGGCACTGTCTCAGAAAATCCAGGACCCATTGTTGCCATTTACATACAGGCAGATTTTTATTTCTATGCTTTTGAAGATCAAGGGCCTTGGAACTGCTGTCTTATGTTTTAGATTAGTATGGAATACTGCAAAGTTTTCTTGATTGAGTCCTGAGAAATGGAATGCCTGTTCCTGTTTACTGAAACTGATTATTGAATGCTAATTATGTCAGGAACTATATTAGTGGCTTTATATGCATTATCTCATTTAATCCTTCTAATTACTCTATGTGGCAAATACTACTATCATTTTCATTTTATAGATGATGAAACCGAGGTTTAGAAAGGTTAACCTGCCTGAGGGTCATATGGCTCATAAGTGGTGAGCTAGCTCTCAAATCCAGGTGTATCTGATGCTAAAAAACTTTGCTCTTGATCATGCTGTACCTTCCAAATATCAGGCATTGTGCTCAGTGTTAGGATTACAAAGATGAAACAGATACAGTTTTAGTCTTGACTCCCAGGCCAGTCATGACTTCTCATGTTCATTAAGGAGGAAAAAATATGCAATTTGATCTCAGAAAGACCCACCAGCCAAGGTCCAGGGGCTCTTTATTAAGCCCCTTATTCATCCATTCAACAAAAACTACGTAATATGGAAGATGAAGATGAGACAAATAAGTAAAAAGAATATTGCAAGGTAATGAGTTTCGTAATGAAGACATGTAGGAGATGCGTGGAAATAAGGCAGAGAGAATGATTTTCTCCTACTTGTGGGGGAAGCCATTTCCTGATTTTCTTAGCCATAGAATAGAGATGAAAATAACACTAATCCTTCTGGCACGAAATGGAATGAAAGATATTGCATAAATACCTTGGAAATTATAAACTATTATACAAACATTAGTCATTATTGTGGTTATTGCACTGTTTGCTGACTGATAGTTTTATGTGCTTCAGGACTCATAGAGCATGAGGGTGGTGATGTTGTCATTGCTTTGAAGACGAAGCAGGCAATCCGGAACGGGATTGCTAAAGCTCTGAAAAACCTCACCTTCCTTTGGTCAAGAGGTGTTATTGATAAACATGCAGGCATAGAGATAAATAAGGTAATAAAGCAGTTTTTCATATTGCTTGATTCCATAACCTAGCACCCAAGTATGCATGGTCACTTCAGCAGAGTGTGATGAGTAAGACTGGGAAAAGAGTGATTCGTCTCAGGTGTTAACTCTGTAATCTGCCTGCAGCCTTTTATCACGCCAATGGCAACTCATGCAAATGCTACCTGGCATATTCCATGTCAAAACTACGTGGTTGCAAGTAACAGACACCAACCTGAGCTAGGTTTAGCTGGGAAAAGGACACAGAGTGCCTTACGGAACCCACACTGTGGGTGGCCAGGCCTCAGGAAGGGACTTGAACAAGGATGTAGGAAGCTTTCCAGACTCTCCATTTCCAGTTAGGGTTGCCCTTTATGGCATCTTCTTTCATCTCCACTACAAAATCACTAGGTTTTTCTGCTTTTCTATCCACTGGTGGAATACGTACTGTTCAGTCCCTTCCAACTGTGGCGAGGGAGGTGGGAGTCACATGATAACATGGTAGGGATTGTGTGTGTGTGTGTGTGTGTGTGTGTGTGTTGGTGGGGATCAGGAAAGGGGCAGTTTCAAGAGGAGAGGAGCAGGGATGGTATCCAAATTGCTTGATTGTTAAATGGACTTGAGGAAAGTTTTAAATGTATTTGCAGAAAAAATCAGGAACATAAGACAGGGAAAAAAATGTTTAATGTTTAATCTTAATACTCTATCACATCCACCATCTCTACTATGTATTTATGCAGATAAGGATATATTTAAATAAGGATGTATTTGTGCAAATACAGGGTTCTTTCTGCTTCCTAGCATAAACAGAAAAATGGAAGTTCTGCTCCCACGTTCTGTGTTACCCACCAACAATCTGCTCCAGGCTGTCACATGCTTTTCCTTGTCACTGGCAACTCCCATCCATTAGCTGCCATGCACCGATCATTCCCTGGACATAGTACCCTCTCCACGGCCCCAAAAGGGAAGTGGGTGTGGGACTGGCCAGTTTTCCCCTTTGTGGCTCTATCTCTTTAATCTCTGTAACATCATGGCAAAGGATTAAATGGGTAAAATGATTTCTCATTACTGTCTGTCAGAGGGAAGAAAAGAGCTACTTAACAGTATTCTTTAAATTACACCCCTATACACATTGTGATTTTTATTCTATTTTTCTCATTTATCACTTGAAAGACTATATAAGATTCAATTAAAGGCTTGATATTCATTAATTAAAATAAATAAATAACAGCCCTTAGGGGAGAGGCTTATTTCTTCCTATAGGTTTGTTTAGAAAGGTAATGGGTAATCCATCATTCATTAGTTACTTACTGAAATCCTACTTAATTGCCTAATTGTTAGCCTAAGAGATATAATGATCAATCCCAGGTCATAAATAGTTAGGTAAATCTATTCAATTTAGTTGTGTAAATATATGTTGGATACTTACTACATGCCATGGCCTCTTGAGGGGATTGGGATAATTAATGAATACAACCTTACCACCAAACTCCATGGGCTCTTACCCATCTTCCATTTAGTCATTTATTCATCTAATCAACACAAGTTACATAATATGAAAGGTGAGACAGATAAGTAAAAATAATGATAATACAATGTATTATTGTATAGAATAATAATACAATGTAATGAGTTCCATAAGGGGGATGTTTAGAGGGTGCCATGGGAATAAAGCAGGTAAGAGATCATCACTTACCTAGTTAGGGAAGCCAGAGAGGGCTTCTCAGAGGCCACAAAACTGGAACAGTATTTCCCCAAATTACAAGAGTTTAGAGAAGCACATCACACACATGAAAAAACTTGAGAGAACATGCCATTAAATTGTACAATAGTCGACTGTGAAGTTCAGATTATTTGAGATTAAGACAGAGTAGAATACAGTGTTAGCATTATAAAGATGATAAATATATGTTAATATATCAGTGAAAATAATAAGGGGGTGGAATAGGGACAAAAAAAGGTTAGAGGATAATTTAAACAGGACGAAAGAAGCCGTGAGTCAAAATCAAGGTTAAATTTGTATAGTAGTAGTTTATTTAAATTTCCTTAGTTTTGTCCCATTTAATTTACAAGATTTGATCACCATTACTTTGTTTGTTTGTTTTCAGGTACTTCTTGCAAAAATAAAAGAACTGAATAACTTCCCAATGGCAGTCCCGCCCCCCACTCCTGACAAATACCTTGATAATATCATTTGGCTGGAAAAGGAAGATGATCTCATCAAGTTCTTTAAGGTAAAGATTCTTCTATCTTTTATTCTGGCAAGTTTGATGAAAATTATTTTTCCATTTTTTCTACCCCCCCATGCAAGATTAACAAAAAACTTATCCAAAGCCAGGAATTCTGTAACGGCCAGTGAAGGGCATGCTGAATTGGAGGCCCACCAAACCCAGGCGAGTATATTTCATTTTGAGCCTAAGTGGTAAATCTGTTTAGGATGATCTATCTCATTTTATGTTGTAGCATTCTGCACTGGAAAAGACTTTTTAGAGCAAGGATCTCAAATTTAAATTAGTATACATGCCAGACAAGTAATATAAAAGTAAAACCAATGGGGGTATAGTGTTATAGGGAACAGTGAGGACTGTGGTATATTCAAGAGTTCATGATCAGTCTAAAGTCAATGAATGTTGCTATAGGAATTTGGACTCTTTTGACAAATATTTATTGAATTTACACACCGGAGACTATTCTAGGTTTGGGGATATGGCAGTGAACAAAATAAATGAAGTCCCTGCTTTCATGGACTTTATATGGATGGAGATAGACAATAAGCACACCAGCACATTAATATATAGTCTGTCAAATGGTGACGAATGCTATGGAGAAAAGGTGAGGAAAGGGAATATGGTTGGGTAGCTATTTTATATGGGGTAGTCAAAGGCATTTGAAGAGAGATCTGAAAGGAGTGAGGGAACCAGCCATATAGATATCTGGGAGAAGAGCATTCCAGGCAAGTACGATGCCTACATGTGGGGTGTGCTCAGTTTGCTCAAGGAATGTCCCAAAATCCCCTGTAGCAGGAGTAATGATGGAGGGAGGACATGGAGCTCGAGCAGTTGAAGAGAGCCTGAGTCTGTAGGACTTTATAGGCCATTGTAAGGACTGGGTTTTACTCTGAATTACGTGGAAACTGATTGGAAAGTTTTAAATGGAGAAGTGACATGATCTAATTTACATTTAAAAATGACAGTCTTGCTGCTGAGTTGAAAATAGGCCGTTAGGGGTCAGGGGCAAGCCAAGGAGACCAGTTAGTAGGTAATCACAATAATGGAGGCAAGAGATGATGACGGCTTGGACTAGTGAAAGTCAGGAGAAGTGGTCAAACTCTTGATATGCTTTGAAGCTGGAGCTGATAGATGCCAGTGGAAGGAGTCTTAGGGAAGGAGGATAACTTCTAGGATTTTAGTCTGCAAATAGAGTGGAGCTGCCATTAACTAGGATGGGGAAGAGAAGATTTATATGGAGGGGGAAAGAATTTAGTTTGAATAGGTTGAGTTTGAGGAAGGTATGCAACATCTAAGTGGGGATGTTAAGCAGGCAGCTGGGTGAATTGCTGGAGTACAGGTGGGAGGCCAAACTGGAAGTAGACATTTTTGAGTTATTAGCATAAAAATAATACTTAAAGCCTTGAGACTTGGTGACATAATTTAAGGGATTATACTAGACATCCAAGGATTGAGTCCTGCACTGTCCAACATTAGAAGTGGGGAGGTGAGGCAGAATTAGTGAAAAGATTTGGGAATAGATAAAGAACCCTTATTTGTTACCAGAGGCAGGAGATGGGGTGGGGCAAGGGGTGAGAAGGGGTCAGAAGGTACAAACTTCAACTTCCAGTTATAAGACAAATAAGTACTGAGGATGTAACGTACACCATGATGACTGTAGTTAACCTGCTGCATGGTATATTTGAAAGTTGCTAACAGATTAAATCCTAAAGGTTGTCATCACATGGAAAAAAAAATTTGTTTATCTGTATGCGATGATGGATGTTAACTAAGCTTATGTAATCATTTCTCAATATATGTATGGCAAGTATTATACTGTACACCTGAAAGTTATATAGTGCTGTATATTACTTATATCACAATAAAACCGGGACATAAATGAACTGAGAAGTAATCCATCAGGTAGTAATCCAACAAAAAGAGAATTGGTTCCCAGAGGCTAAGCAAAAAAGTATTTCATGAGGGAGAATGTGATCAACTATGTCATATGAGGCTGAGAGACCAAATAAGCTGAAGACTGAAAATTACCTAATAGATTTAATATTGTATAGGTCAAATTAAAAAAAGAGAGAAGCTGTCAATCTGAATTTTTATGGGCAGTTTCCAAGAATTTAAAATTTGGTACCAATTCAAAATTGTGAAAATACTGCCAGCCAAAGGCAACGCATGCATGGACTGGATGTGACCCGTGGACCACCAGTCTGTGGTTTTGGTTTTAAATAGATGTTGTATGGATTATAGGGTTTATAACTTTGAATATCTGATTTCTTTTATGTCATACTAACATTTCCCTCATGCCAGATAGTAAAACAATTTTCTTTTGAAATTAATTTCAGATTTACTGAAATTAAGACTCCTTTCCTGGAAAGTAACCAAAACCTACTTGAACTAGTTTGAGCAAAGGGGAAGTTTGCTGAAAAGATATACAGGAGCCAAGAACCAGTTGAGGAATCAGGCCAACTCAGGGCAGGGGTATCAGTGGTGGTGGTGGTGCTGGGGGTTTTGTTCACTGAGTCTAAGAATGAACTTTGCAGACACTCAAAGTAGGAGAGCAACTGAGAGGCTTTTTATTTAGAGATAAAGTAAGAGGAAAGAGCTCCTAGCTTATGCTGGGAGGGGACAAGAGAGTCTGGGGTGGTGCATTGTCTACGGGATTTAAAGGCGTTTGAGAGACAAAGGGCTAGGGATGCGGACCTGCCAGATGGTCTCAAAAGGTTTGTTTTTGAAGAGACACTAAGTTTCTTATCAGTGGGTTATTTTTCAAAGTTAGTTTAACACAAGAAATATACTGCTCTGATTCTTTCCCAGGAGAGCTGCTTTTTGATCTGGGAGCATATCAATTAAGACTGACTGCCTTGCTTCCAAGATGGGCTGGGTTATTGTTTGTTTGATTAAAATGTAATCTTAGCTTTAATATAGATTTTTTTCTAAATAAGCTGGCCTTTGAACAGGCTACAGTAAATCTTACTATGGTATGTTTTAATTGACACAGTGAAAATAGAGGCTATGCTGAGATACTTTTCTTTATCTGGGGTGTATTCAAATTTCTAGGTCAACTTGCTCCTGGCTTTTTAGTTTTAACTAATTTCACTGAAGAATGCTTATATTCCTAGTTTGATATTTTTACTTTAGGGAATTAATGTGACTTGGCTTTACTTAATTGTTTAACATGGAGTTTTGGTAGGGTTTTTTTTCCAGAGGCCCTCAACCCTACTCTGTCTAAACCCACAGTCCCTGTCTCAGTAGGAATCTGCTGACCCTCCTAATACGTGACTGTGATGACTTAGTTTCAACTCCCAGGCTTTTTATCTTTCTGTTCAAATTCTTGAGAGAGAAATAAAGCCAGCTTAGCTTGGATCAGATGTCCAGCATGGGGGAGTACTAGTGTAGCTGTGAGAAGGAGGAAACCTGGTGGACTGAAACAGACCTCAAATGCAGAGGAGTGGGAGGTGGGAGACAGGCTGGACTGGGAAGGAGGTTATCTAATAGGTGTTTATTATAACTGGCATCCTGTTCAGGTTTTTAAAAATCCAATTTAAAATGAAATGAGACATCGGTTCTTCATGGGTAATAATTTGAGTATGATTAACTGGCCATCCGAGTGAATGCGACAGCAATAGGACTCTTTAAATTAATGATTCACAGACATTGAAGTGAATGTGTGACCAGGGCACAGCCTTTTTTCCATATTAACTTGCCATGCCTATGCAAAGCTGTTGGGCTTACAGACCCCCTTACAGCTTTCTCCCACTCTTTAGGTAGCCTTTTTCCTTAATATGTTTGTTGGTTCTTGATAACCATTTAAATCAGATTTTGCCAGGGTAAAAACTGAGACAAATTGGGAACACACAGCCATTATTCTCACTGGAGACAGCCAGGGATTGTGCCAATAACTAAAATCCACATAGTAAACAAACACCCCTTGCAGCCTGTAATTTCAATCCTGTTCTCCATCACAGCCACAATAGTTAATTTTACCTCCTTGTGCCTTCTTTCATCCTCCAAGTCGTGTGGTTAGTTAAAAAGGGAATCTATAAAGATGAGCAGGGAAACAAGGGTAGACAAACAAGGAATGAATAATATACAAGCTGGATAGCTGGCTTTAGGTGAGCTTCTCAAGAAAAATTTTGAAGTCATCCATGCTTATCCAACACTGTCAAATAATTCACAAGTGTATAAAATGAAGAGCGAAAACTATTTACTCCTCCACCTCACACTTGGAGATAACCACTGTGAATAATTTGGAAACATTTCCTATACATCTTTGCAAAATGCGAATCTGTCACCATTAATTCTTCTGTTACCAACCCTTCAGTGGGTCCCCTGGTTTTGAGAAAAGCTCAGAGTCTTTAATGTGCCTGCAGAATCCTTCCAGACCTGGCCCCCTCTCACCTCTCCGGTCTCCTCAGGGGCTACATGCTGACTTTCATGGGCCCAGGCCACTTTTGCCTTAGTGGGTCTCTTCCTCCATAAAAAGTACAAAAAATTATGCTTTACAACTGTGTTAGCATAATGATGAATATATTTATATTAAATATTGCAGTTTTAAAACATTTTCCTTTACCTAAAAGTTGTTTTATTCCCTTCCGATTTTAAAAGAAACTAAATGTTGTGAGTCCATGAAAGTATTGTGAATCCCAGGCTCCGTGCCTCTCAAAGCCTGATTGGCAACTCAGCCCTGTTTGAGATGCATTGATTCTTCTGCAGTTACCCTATTTGCTTCTGGGTCTTTGCATATACTGAATCCTCTGTCCTGCATGGTCCTCAGCTCATCCCATCCTGGCTGTTCCTTTTCTCCCAGTTCTCAGTTTAGCCGCTCCTTCCTCTGCAGTCTTCCCTGGCCACCCAACGTGGTGTCCTGTGGCACTTCTGGATTTTACCTGCGTGTCCTGTCCCTGTCTCCTTTGTCAGAGAACCACACTTTGTTGTAAACATCTCCCACTTATCATTCGTTGGGTGTTTCTGCCAGTCACTGTGCCAGGTAATAATCACAAAGTCTGCAGTTTGCCTGCTGTCTTCTTTTGAAACATGGATGAAGCATATCAGCACATTGTAATTCATTAACAAACCACATAACATAGTTTGTGGTTTTTTACTACTTGAAAACCATTTCGCCATTAAAATCTGATTTCTGTATTGACTATGAAGCTTTTGTGTTGACTCTCTTTTATTTCCTCTTTTTTTTCTTTCAGCAAAGAGCCCAACTTGCCTATTTTGATGATGGAGATGTCATTTGTAAAGAAGGTGAAATGCCCCAAGGAATCTACTTAATTATTTCAGGAACGGCAATTGTAAGGGACTATTTATTTTTTATTGAAGTTGTATTTTGAAACATGTAATTATAACCTAAGGAGGAATTTAGGAACCAAGAAAGTTTCACATTTTTAGCATAATCTCTTTCCAAATGAAACCGTTTCTGTGCAGAGTGAACACTACAACTGAAAGATAATTAAATAGCCAACATCTGAAAGGTGCTTCCCATTTTACAAAATGCGTGCAGAGTCCTTATTTATTCTTTGCAACAATCCTGAGAGGAAGCAGTCTTTTCCATAATGTTCAGAGAAGGAACCTAATACTTGGAGTCCTTGAGTTACTTACCCAAAGGAAATGAGAGTCAAGAATGAGGGAATGAATGCAAATGTCAGATCCTTATAGAGGTCAAATAGGTGAGGATTGAAAATACAACTTTTAATCTGACCGAAAAAAGGCTTTTGGTGACCAGAAAAAGAGAGAAAGTTGTCAGTAGTATGGGGAGAGGGCAAGAATCCTTTAGAATCTGAATCCTAGTAGCTGAATATATGAGTGAACCCCAGCCTATGACCCAAATTATTCCAGATTCTAGATGACAGTTACAAGTGACAAACCCTTATCATAGTACAAATAATAAGTTTGGCTTTTTATTTTTGGAAAGGGTATTTCAGACCTTAAGAATACCAAAATTGATCATGGAAATAAATATTATAATACTAACACACATAAAAAACTTCTTAAGTATGGAGGGACCAAGAGCTGGCCCTTCAAGAGGTGCCATTGTGGCATGCAGACTATTTCAGAGTTGTGAACAATCAAGGCCCAAAAGACTCACAAAGAAACACTGACCTTCCACCCACAACTGCATAAAAAGAATTTAGGTAGAGGAACTACTCCAGGAGGAGAACTGTCACCACAGATAGCTCTATTATAATGTAAACTAGGTGTGGTGGACAGGGAGGAAGGTGGCAAAGTCTGTTAAAATTCCTCTCTGTGCTCTATTGTTTCTGTGTGGCCCGTCAAGTGTTTTCCTTATCAAACATTTACTTTTTACTTTTTTCATAGTCCTGTGAATTACTTCCCTTTTCCTTTGAAGTCTCAGACCCTCTAACTCTCACCTCCTTGGTTCAGGACCAAGACCTCATTCTCCCTGTCTTTAGAACCTATGTTTATGGCTTCCCTGTATGTACATATTAAACTTTGTATTTTTCTTTTGTTAATCTGCTTCATGTCAATTTGATTCTCAGACCAGCTAGAAGAACCTTGAGGGGTAGAGGAAATTTCCTCCCCAACAAGTGTCTAGCACATTTTGATGTCGGGCAGCTGAGTCTGGGGAGGTCTCTCCCTGTGCACTAGTTGAAACCCTCAACGGGGGGTTCTTGACTCTGAACGAGAGAGAATTCTCAAACAGGTCGGACAAGTGTAGGTAAGGAAGGAATTCATTAAAATGAGAATACTAGTGAATGTCAACAGCCTGCAGGCTGTAGAGAGCAAGGAAGAACAGAGGGAGGAAGGGGAAGTTCATTGAACTCCTGCTCAACATAGAGCAAATCCCTTGTCAACTCCTGAAGCCAGGGTCACCAGGTGTCCAGTGTCCACTTGGATTTATATGGTGTGGGAACTAAGCCCCTACCACCCTAGAATTTGGGGAAGCTGAAGAGCCCTGGCTGGAGTGAGATTATGTTCTGAGAATTTCCCAAAGGCAAATAAAGGAGATTTTCAGAAAGGCTACTAAAGAGCATGACTGTACAGCTGCACCTGGGTGATGGGAACTTGCAAGCCTAAATCAGAGATCTTAGTAGCCTTTCCCTACTTGTCTGGAGTAGAACAGAGAGAGAAGACTAGTACTTAAGTCTAGAAAACTGAATGAAATAACTAAGTAACAAAGGTGCTTACGACCAGAAGAGTGCAGAGACAAAACACAGTAAGTTGAGCCGTAAGAAGTCTTTATTTAAGGCAAAAAGTACACACTCAAAGAAAGGGGAGTGCAGGCAACCTCAGAGAGAAGGTGTACTCGGAGGCTTAAGATTCTGTTTTTTATGGCTTTCAAGAATGGGGCAACGGGTGGGGGGTTGTTGGGTATAGGCTTGACTTCTGGTCTCATGATATCTATCTCCAGTGAGAGACACTATGTCACCATCCTTAGTCTGTCCTATAGATATTTTGTAAGATAAACTTAATGCAAGTGTAGGACCTAAACATTCAGTGAAGACAGCAGGTTAGCCTGAGCACAGCCATCTTAAGAAACCCAGAGGCCATTTTCTGAATATGTTCAGAAAGCCCTTGAAAAACAAGGTGAAAAACAAGTTAATCATGAACACCAGGTGGTGGGCAGCTGCGGCCTTCAGACAGCTAACCTTGGTCAGTTAGTCATACATACCAAGCTTATCTTGCTGAAACACTGTATGGCTGAGGGTGTTCTTATCTCGTGAAACCCCCGGGATGTGGCGCCAACCGAAGATTTATGCGTCCTTGGAAAAAAAACCCTGTTACGTGCTTGTAGAACAATACTGTCTTTTTAGAAAATGCTATAAAAACCTCCGGCTTTGACTGCTCGGGGTCCTTGTTGAGACCCGCTGCGTCGGGCTAACACTTGGACCCCAGCTAGCTGGTTCCTGAATAAATTCCTCTTGCTTGTTGCATCAAGAGACGCCTTTCGTGAGTGATTTGGGGAGGTGTCCTCCTCTGGGAGAATCCAACACAAGAAATTTCTTGATCCTGTTCTTCTCCAAGATAGTGGTTACCCTCAAGCACTGGGGACACACCATTTAGGACTGTTTGCCCTGCCTTAAGATAGGGTCAGTTATTGACTGATCACCATGTAATATGTTAGGAATCTTACCTCCTAACTCCCTGGTTTTTAAAATGGAATCTTAGCCTTAAGATGGGGTTCCTCCTGTTTTTACTATACTATTTATATCTTGGTATTTTTCATCATAGGCAGGAAAAGTTAATCATGATGCTTGTCTCATGTCCCTGCCCTACCTCAGTTTCATTCATTCATTCAACAAATATTTACTTCATCACTACCATGCAGCAGGCACTGTTCATTCTAGGCATGAAATTGACAAAACAGACTAAAATCCCTGCCTTCCTGGAGTTTACTTTCTAATAAAGGCATAGGAGGAGATGGAAAAATGAACAAAATAAGTAAGTTGAATATATAGTATGTTAAAGGTGATGGAAAGATAAAGAGGTTTGTTATAATTTTTAAAAGGGTGGTCAAAATGGCACTATGTTTTGACATTGAAATCCTTATAACAGCCCTATTTTTCCATGGGAAAACTGATGCACAGACAAATTAATTTACTTGCCCTTCCCCCCCACCTTTCTTCAAGGGCATATAGAAGGAAGTTAAGGAGGGCTTTGAACCCATGGAGTCAGCCTCTAGTATCCATGTCCTTAGCCATTATTCTATACTCTTCCATTAGAAGCCATGTGCTATGTTCCCCTTAGAATCATAACAAAAATATACTGCTACCAGTATTTATTAAATATGCCAAATCAAACACTTAAAAACTACAACATATATGTTCCTTTTGGGGAATTTTCCCCAAAAATGATTGGATTACTTAAGGCTTCTTAAAATATAAGTCCAGTGATATTTGGGCTAAAGAAAATTTTTAGTAGTCTATTGATACCCTAAAAAATTACTAGAAATTTAACAGCTTAGACTTACTATCTCACAGTTCTGTAGTCCAAAGACCCTATGGCCTTAGCTGGTTTCTTTGCTGGAGTCTCACAAGGTCAAAATCAAAAGGCCGGTAGAGCAGTGTTTCCTTCTGGAAACTCTGGGAGCAGAATTGGTTTCCAGGCTTATTGTTGTAAGAATCCAGTTCCTTACAGTTTTGGACGTATGTCCCTGCTTCTCTGCAGGCTGGCAGTTGGGACCCACCACTAGCTCCTGGAGCTCCACTTCAGTCTTTGCCTGCTAGGTGCTCACCTTTCAGAGCTAAGGCACATCCAGTCCTTCTCATAGTGCCTCTTCTCTCTGGCTGATTCTACTTTTCTACTTTTGAGGGCTCATGTGATTACATTGGGCTCACTGACATGACATAATCCAGAATGATCTCTTTAGGATCACTAGAAGAGGGGGCAGGGCAGTTGTCACAGCAATTCCTTCAGTGAGCTTCTTCTGTTCCTGTTCCCTTTGTCCTGAACAATAGGCTTCCTCTTTGATGTTTGCAGCTGAACTTTCTGGAAAATCCTGTAATTCTTCTGGTTGATCTCCTGCACTTCCTCCTGAAATCTGATAGCCTGCTTTTCCTACCCTCCACCCATGCCTACCAGTTCTTTACCAGAAATAACCATCCTAAGTTCAATCAGAAAAAGAAAAAACTTTTTCTGTTGTGTCTCATGGTATTAATTCTTAAGCATTTTAAAGGGATACAAGGCTTTTACTGAAATCATGGTTCAGTTTGGAGGCATAATAATTCATGCTATCTAACTGATGCATCCATGCAAACAAAAAATTTGTTTCCATCTGAGGCATTAGAGCGTAATAATAAGCATAGCTAATAGATTTGGAGTGGGTGACTGAGTTAGCTGCAGATTGCCAGTTACTTCTTTTCGTAGGATTTTTATGTAAGGAAGATATAGGTAGAAAGTTGTAAATACAGGTCATCTGTAAAGCTAAAGATCAGAAACAATGCTTGCCTTGGAAAATTGAAATGTGAAAGAAACTGATTTTTGTGAAGACTAATTCCTTATTCACTCCTGAAATGATTCATAAAGAATCTTTTCCTTCCATTGTAATAATTACAAGAAATCGTGGGAGCTCCTATGGTTTGGGCAAGGGTTTTTAATTATGTATTTCCCTTTGCACATGTTTTTCCCTGTGCAGTTGCATAGTTCCAACCGTACCAATGGAATAGACAGTGGCCTAAGACCTGATAGAGAGTACAAAACCCTGTTTACAGAGTACTGCACTAGCGGAGACATAATTGGAGAATTGTGCTGTTTGCTTAGGCGGGAACTTGAATATAGCGTCGTCTGTGAAACTACTTTACAGGTGAGAAACTGGTTCTGTCTATATCATGGGTTATTAGTTAATTCTTCCTCTAAAAAATAAGGAGAGCCTGCATGTTTTCTTCCTTTAGGTCCTGCTATCTTATTGAGTCACCCAACCAGCTATTGTGAAACAGCATAGACTAGTTGAGAAAGTACAGATTTAGTTTCTCATATCCTGGCTGGGGGATCTGGAATAAGATATTTTAACCTCTTTTAGTCTTGTTAGAGAGAGTATCTAACTTTTGATGTTATGAAGATTAGGAAAATACCTAAATAAAATGCCTGGCATGTATAGATGCTCAATAAATGGCCCCATTATGAGAGCAGTGTTTTAAAAGAATAGTTATTTGTTTTTAAACTTCCTTTCTTCCATTTGGCACTTGCTAAGTACGCCTATTCAACAAATAAGGGGACTGATAATCCACTAGGTGTAGGGGATTCAAATAGAAACAAACCAAAGTTTCTGCTTACAAAGAATTCTCAAGCTTTTGGGACTGTTAGATGCGATTAAGCAGGGTCTGGATCTTAGAGGTGTGTGGAACAGAAGTGAATATTATTTGTAATACTGTGGCAATAAAAATAGATAAGTTTATGTAGCTGAGTTCCTAAATTTTGGGCTCATGAGCCATACCTTTTAGCATAGTTATTGACTGGAATGAATTTTTCTGACTTATTATTATCTATACCTTTAATTACACTGTAAATTTTATCATCTTATAGTGAACAACCTCTCCAAAATACAATGTATTTAAATGGCAGTGTATCATAATTATACTAGAATTGATTTTTTTTAAGAGGTTAGGTGAAGGTTAAATCTACAGCCACCTCGTTTTCTGATGCCTTATTGTTTAGTTCTGAACCAAGCTTGCTGCTTGATTCCTTATCGTTTCAGGCCTGTTTTATCTCTCTGGAGGATTTATATGCAAGTTTTGATACCTTCTGGCCATTCCTGGAAAATAAAATATGGCTAAAGGTTGCTATCAGTATTGCCTGTCAATATTTTCAATCAAGTCTCATTGATGAAGTAAGTTACATGATTAAAATATGAATAAACTTTTATTTACTGCATTTTTTACAAAATGCGTTTCATATTTTTGAAACAGAGAGAAAGGAAGATTATGTCTGATCTTCTAAATGAGATTCCAGAATTTTTAAACACTCTCTTATCGTGATTTCCTGCAGGTCATCAATCTTCTTGTCACAGCTAATTTTCCCAAGCTACCAGCAGTCATTCTTTAAAAAAAATAAAAGTAGATTCGGGAAATATTAACTAGGTAGATCCCCAAGAACCAAGGATAGCGTTAACTGGAATTAGTTAATGAACACTCAGTCTAGTGTTTATTATAGTCCTCTACTTATGTTAATATAAATCTGCTTTTTCAAATTTTTTTTTTTTTGTCCATTGAGGCATTTTATTTGCACGTGTATATTATATCCCTAGAAAAGTAATCCCAGGCTTTTCCCTCCTGCTTGTTTTTGTCTTGCTTCTCCATGGTCCATGATACCAGCTGAAGTTGTCAGGACAATGAAACCAAACTGATGTGACAGGAACATGTTATTCTGCCATTTTTCTAGATCTATGAGCTATACTTCAAAACTGGGGCTGATCATGCCACACTCATTTAACCTGACAGTGAGGTTCAGAATAATTTTCTCAGTTCTGTGATTGTCAATGATTTTAAATTCACCAGAGTAACATTATAGTTAGAAACTGAACGAGGGCACTTAGAAGCATGGCCTAATAAGAATCTGGTGTTTGCCTCTCTTTTTGGCATTGCTGATGCTCTTACAAGCATCAGCCAGGACATTTATGCATACCATTATGTCAGCAAGGAAAGATGGTAGAAAGAGGTCAAATCTTTATTAAGGTGATTGGGCCTCTTCTATGAACTTTCTCTCCAAAAAGTAGTGGCTCAAATCTGTTCTTGGAGTGGCATAATTTACAATCCTATACTTATAAACTATTTAATAATTATTTGAGCCACTACTATGAGTCAGGAACTGGGAAAGTGACAGATTTGAAGTTCAATAATACTCATTGCATAGAGAGACTGGATATAAATGTTGGGTGGAAAAATGAGCAGGTCTCAAGAGAATGAGAAAACAAGCCACAGACTGGGAGAATATATTTGCAAAAGAGATATCTGCTAAAGGACTGTTATCCAAAATATTCAAAGAACTCATAAAACTCAAAAATAGGAAAGCAAGCCCAATTAAAAATTGGGCCCAATATCTTCATAGACACCTCACCACAGAAGATACACAGATGGCAAGTATATGGAAGGATGCTCCCTACTGTATGTCATCAGGGAAATTAAATGAAAACAACATGATATCACTTCACACTTTATTAGAACAGCAATTTTTGAAACACTGACACCACCAGGTACTGGTGAGCATGTGGAGCAGCAGGAACTCTCATGCATGGCTGGTGGGAGTACAGCGTGGTACGGCCCCTTTGGAAGACAGTTTGGCAGTTTCTTACAAAACTGAACGTACTTTTACCATACTATCCAGCAATTGATCTCCTTGATACTTATCCAAATGAGTTGAAAACATGTGCACACATTAAAACCTACACATGGATATTTTAACAGCTTTATTCATAATTGCCAAAACTTGGAAGCAACCAGCCAAGACGTCCTTTAGTAGATGAGAGGATAGAACAACTGTGGTACATCCAGACAATGGGGTATTCAGTGCTGACAAGAAATTAGCTATCAAACCATGAAAGAAACTTAAATGCATATTACTAAGCAAAAGAAGCCATCTGAAAAGGTTACCTACTATCTAATTCCAAGTGTAGGACATTCTAGAAAAGATTCAACTATGGAGACAATAATGAGATCAGGAAGCTGGGAAGGGAGGGATGAATAGGTGAAACACAGAGGACTTTCAGAGCAGTAAAAATTCTCTGTGATACTAGAGTAATGGGTACATGTCATTATATATTTGTCCAAACCCAGAGAATATTCAACACCAAGAGTCAACTCTAAAGTAAACTATGGACTTTGGGTGATTTTGATGTATCAATGTAGGTTCATCAATTGTAATAAATGTACCCTGTGGTGGGGGATGTTGACGGTGGGGGAGGCCATGCATGTGTGGGGACGGAGGTATGTGGAAAATGTCTGCATCTTCCTCTCTATTTTGCTATGAACCTAAAAAACTGCCTAAAAAATTAGCATGACAGACTAAGGCTGTCATGTTTTTTATTAAGTGGCAATAACAATTTTCAGACAACTTTTAGCAGAAGACTAAGGAGATACAGGTTCTTCTCTTTTCTTTTTGCTTTGCTGCTTCATGAGAAAAAAGACATGTTTCGAGTCTAGTATTAATTCCCAGAGGAGAGCATTAGAATCAATAGGTTAAAACTGTGTGGAGTCAGGTAGACTCAATAATAAGGCTTATTTTAAAAAAATTCACAAACAACACATACTCATTATATAATTTAGAAAATACAGATACAAAACAATAATAAAAACTTAGTACCCCGATTTTACAGCCCAGAGTATCTCTATTTAACACTTAGACTTATTTCCTTCTAGTATTTTTTCATTGAAGAACTAGCCAATTAGGACTTTTAGAACCCCTAGGCAGTGATAAAATTATGCTGCACCCCCTTCTTAAAACCACAGAAACCAAATTTACATGCATTTAAAAACCAAAATACCTTATTTTTTAGATTTTCTTATTACAAAATTCTAGATGTTTGCCAATTTTTTAATATTTTTGGTGCCCCAGCTGTGCTTATATACTTATATGTATTTATATCTTAAATATATAAGAAAAAGTATATGGTTTTTTTCTTATAGCATTAATAATATATATAATTTTCTTATAATACATATAATATTTTCTTATGTGTTTTGGTGTCCTTGGCAATTAAGTGTCAGGGACCAAGTCCTGAGGACTGGATCATGTAGCTGTGTACTTTCTGTGGCTGGACATGTTCAGAGGGCCTCAAGGCTCATCTACTCATTTTCTGGGGCTGTTGTAGTAAAGTACCACAACATGGGGGGCTTAAACAACATAAATGCATTGTCCCACAGTTCTTGAGGCTAGATATCTGAAATCCAGGTGTTGGCAGTGCTGGTTCCTACTAAGAGTTAGAGGGATTATCTTCAGCTTCTAAATGGCTGTCTTCATCTCCACATGCAGCTCTCCCTGTAAGTGCATCTGTGCCTAATTTCCCCTTTGTCTAAGGATATCAGCCATATTGGCTTAGGTGCCCACCTTACTCCAGGATAACTTCATCTTAACTTAAACAATTATATCTGTGAAGACCCTTTTTCCAAATAAGGTCACATTCTGATGATTGGGTGTGGGTAAAATTGCAGTATTTTCAGAATCTCTAGCCTGGCCTTAGTGCATCTCCTTACCAGTAGGTGTTGATAAGGGGTGGAGAGAAGTAGTCCACCTCCATATCAATAGGTAATTATATGGGGGAACGAGGGCTTATCTGGACTGGAAAGGTTGGATCTCTTTCTGCAGCCGGGTCATGAAAGACATGGGGGAGCAGAAGTGGATGACTGCTTATAAGCAATAAGCTGGTTTCTCCCACATTATTTCTCCCTTTGACTGATTTTGGTTTCAAAGGTTTTTCCCCCAGAGTTACACTGGGGGTCAGAACATCAACATATGAACTTTGGGGAGACACAATGCTGCTCATACACACAGCTTCCTTCTAGCTCTAAAGACATGTTTCTGAGTCTTGAAGTATGATTCAGACTCAATGCCTTGCTTTGTTCTTTTCCTTTTTTCTGGTTGTTTGTTCACTTGTCAAGTGGGACATTTGCTTAACTGCCAGGTAAAACCCAAATCACAAGGCATAGCTGACTGCCCTGCTGCAGCTGATCCCCAGCTCACACAAACACATTAACACACCAGGCCACTGATAGGAACAACATAAAAACTCTGAGCTCATAATCTTGTTGAGGGCTCTTCTGAACTCTAAATTAATTCTGTCTTTTGGTCCCACGGTTTATATGACACCCTCACAGAAAATGTCTAAATCAGTGAATTTGCTTTGTTCTTGATACCATGTGTCATTTTCTATGTACTTGTACTGGAAAAAATGTAATTTTATTGTAGGACTTAACGTTTCAGAAGTGTGTGAAGTTTAATCAGGCACACGTGGAGACTTTGTCAAACGATAACGAAATGACTATTGATAACATGACCATGAAATTCGTGATTATTGTGTATGGCAGTGTGATTGATACTAAGACAGAGGAATCATACTGTGCACCTTGCATTTTACCTAGAACCTGTGAGCAGGTAAGGAGGATCATTTCTGAAGACTCGTTTGCTTTTCATGGTGCCCATAAGTAACTTTAAAACTCAACTGATCACCTTAAAAAGAAATTTAAGACCCTGAAGTTCTCACCCACACTTAACAAAACATTCCTAGAGCTTCTGTGGACTGTTGTGTGGGTTGTACCCTTGTGCAGGGTAAGACCAAGTGGCAAGAGAGGAATCTGCCTCCTCTCTGCTTGCCAAGCCATGTGCCTTGGCATGGGGCTCTGCTTCCCCAGAGGAGATGTTAGATAGAAAGATAGACATTAGCAGCCTAGGAAGGAGAAGATAGGCTCAAGGAAAAAACTGCCCAAACTTCCCAGGTAGGGGGTCCCAGTGCAGACAACAAAGGCTTTGCAGGGAGGCAACTTCCTGCCTGTGGGGACCAGGCCAAACCAGTCCCAACCAGGTCCCAATGGGGGCTCACGGGAACAAAACTAAGAACTGCCCCAACCACATACTCATACTCCTCATACTCTCATTAAAATAAAATTGTGGTTTTGCTCCCTCTGGCTTTTCCATGTGCATTCTGGGAAAAGACATGTGCACCAAGAGAAATGAGTGTATAACTAGAGCTGTCAAGCAGAAGACCTCACTCTGTCAGTCAAAAGATACCTCCTAGCTAGGTGGTGACAAATAGACCCTCCCCCCAAAGTTCTGGGCCTTTGTCTACCTTGACTCTGGCCCCCGTGGAGTGTATTCAAATAAAACTTTTGCCCTGCTTCACTATTGTGTCTCTGCCTTGCAATTCTTTGTTGCGGTGGAGACAAGGACCAAGGAGAACGAACTCAACCCATAACAGAGGAAATGGTGTGCATATTTCCTAGTTCACTCCAAGGCCATATGCTAGTGTGGCTTTGAACTATCTGCAATTGGTAAGAAGTTGGTAAGAAGGGAGCTGAGTAGTAGTGGCCTTGTCACTTTGTTGCCATGTTAGGGACGATGGGCATAACTTGACAGTGTCCTGGACCTCACCATTCCATGCCTCAGGATGAAGGGAGGGAGAAGTGTGAGCACCTAGGGTCACACAGGATGAGAGTAGAAGCAAGGTCTCTCATGGGCCAAGATGGGTGGAGCCCACCAGCAGGGAGGCTCAAGAGGCATGAGAAGAGCTGACATCCCTTTAATCTGGTAGTTAATTTCTACCCCCTGGGGAGAGACCCTTTGGTCTGTGATCTATTAATCAATGCTTTGATCTATTAATTAATTAAATGAATTATTTTACATAAGATGAAAATTTATGCCCTGGAAATGTGGGTAAACCTCATAAAAAGTGCATTTGTTCCTTTCATCACATTCTTATTTTATACCTCTCAACAATTCAGTGGATGAAGGTCATTTAAATGTTTTTTAAATGAAAAATGAAAATCCCTTTAGCTTTGAAACAAGGGGTGGGGGATGAGTTCTGGAACAGTGGGAGCAATACCCACAGTTTGGTTTGTTAAGACATCAGGGTTTGGAGTTGGATTTGAAACCTGACCCCTGTGCCTAAGAGGTGTTGAGCATCAGCAAGCTGTCTCTACCCTCTGGTTCCTATTAGAAAGATGAGGATGATAGCAGCAGCCACCTCATAAGGTTATTGTGAGGATTAAATATAATGGTATCTGGTACCTAGAAATTATGGTTACAATTGCTACTTGTGTGCTACTTTAGGGAGGGTGGATTTTGGGCACACAGGCCAAAAGTTCTAAGAAAAGAATCCTGCCATCTGGGGAGGCTGGGGCCTGGGCCTTGAGCCCTTGAATGTCATAGTAGGGGTCGAAGTAACTCCGTAGAAGCTGGGGATTCTCTGTTTTCCAAAAGGAATTTCCAGTCTGGTTACAAGTAAGGTGCAGAGATTTCCTTTCTGATGTCTATAAGTAGGCAAAAGGTAATTTGCTGGTCCAAAACATCTTGAAACAACATTAAGGAGGATATGAAAAAGATAGAGCTTAGGGTGAAGGCCTAGTTCTAGGTTTCTACCGATTTCTTACATTCTTTGGAAAGGTTGGGAAGCAGCCAGCTTAGAGATCAGATAATGCTCTTTTGACTAACTTTGACTTTTCTCCTTAGGTTCAGGGATCTTCAGATAAAAGCAAGTTGCTGGTTATCCTAGCAAATGAGGCTGGCAAAAACAAAAATAACTCCGAGTTCATGGGTAAGGGGTAGCCCTTTGGTGGTAGGAAAACCACCGAAAAGGAATTTTGGTATATGTAAAGTTCACTGGATTCTAAGAAAATGACTTGAGGGCATTGTATTTATCATCAGTCGCCATCCTTGGGCCCACGCTGGCTGCCCCATTGCTTCTGGGAGGTCACATTTCAGAGCCTGGATCCAGGTGGCTCCTTCATCTCTCATGTCCTTCCCTCTGCACCCTCGCCAGGGGAGAGCAGCTTCTATGTTGTGTTCTGTTCCTGGCCTGGCAGGCTAGCGCCACATAATTCTGCTGGGAGCTCAGTGTCCCTGCCTTACCAAGCCCTGTGTTACTCATCTGCCAACTGCTCCAGTTTGAGAGCGCAGTCAGCCTTGATTTGGCCCTCTTCTTGGCACCACCCGGGTGCTTACAATTCATGTGCGCTGCCAGCTTAGACATTACACAATTCTTAATGAATTGTTAATTAGCGGGAGGGGTTTACATGACTTCCAATTGTGTGCGTAGTGACTTTTTATTAACATTTTATATATAATTTGCATAATTCTTAGTAACTGCAACTCCACTTTGTGCTGAGCACTGTGCCAAGTGCTATTTGGCGAGCAAGCCAAACAAGGTCTCTGCCCTTCTTAAGATGTATATTCAGTAAGGGATTCTACTTCTCCCCTGGAAGCACATTCAACTTAAACTTACACCTCAGTTTTCATGCCCTGTTCTGAGTCCTATGCAGCACGATTTGGGGGATCCCCCCACTGCTCCTCGGTCTCCTGTCAAGCTGGCCAGCACATTGACACAGTCATCACCCGGCTTCAGTCTCTTTAGGTCTCCTGCTCTGCTGCTTCCATAGCAGCCTGAGGCCACAGGAGTCTGTGGCAAGGCCTGGAGCTCAGGGCCTAGTGTCAGCCCCCTGGGGGCACCCTGAGGGCTACTGAGCCAGAGATCTTCAGCTCTGCCAGGCGGCAGGTAACAGGTCCCTACTGTTCATGGGCCTGTAGGCCTCTCTCCTTCCTCAGGTCCTCTGGAATTATTTTTAGACTGAAGGAAATACATCACTCTCTATTCCCCAGTGAGTTTGGGACAAAAGTCATAAATGGCAGGTTTACAGACTGGATCCAGCCTGTATGCTGAATTTGACCCACAGACACACTTTCTTTTAAAACTTTGAAGTTAGTTTGTCAAGTATAAATATCCAGAATTTTCACACTTAAATCCAGAATTCAAGATTTTCTTGATAAACTAGAAAGTCTGCCAACATTTGGTCCTCATTCCTGTATGTGGCAACAATCAGATAATGCTGAGGGTATCAGCTGGCTATGGGGGAAGCAGGTGCTCTAGTTTGCCACAGTCCACAGCACTCCCTCTTGTCTTATACACTTTAATCATTGGTGTGATCTGCTTGTTCTCATTTGAGTTTGTCAGTGCTTATATTGAGGGAAACCTTGAAGGAAGAAAGAGCCCATTAAAAAGAGGAAAAGGGAAAGGGGAGACCTACTGGGATAAAGCAAATTGGCATTTCAGGGTATCTTCTGCTACCTTTACTCTTTTATTCCTAATTTAATTTTTCTGTTTGATGCATATATTTGGATTGGCTCAGTCAACACTGGTGTTTGGATGACCAGGAAAGAATATAACTGGAAGAGAAAAAATGAGGTAATACACTTGACAGTTTGATTATATTTTTCTTATTGCAAATATTAAAAACCACACAGCTGAAATAAATTGTGTGAAGTCAAGTAGCAAAATGCAGTTGATGAGAAAAAGACTCAGTGGCAACTCATTCACTTGGAAAAATTGGGATATAGCTCAGTTGAATTACATAAAAATTAAAATTATGACTATTTTTGAAAGATGTTAATTTGCCTCAGGTCCCCATCTCCCAAATCTCCCCTGTTCACCTCTTCCTGTGATATTTAGTTCAAAGGTAGGTCTTTACACGATTAGGGGTGGGGAGGGTCATACATCAGGCATACAGACCTTAGCTTCTAAATATCTGCGCCTCTCCCTTCAGAGCGACCATGCCCTGGGGATGTGCGCCTGCCTTGCTGGGGGTGTGTAGGCCACAGGCTGCTCGTGGGCTTCTTACTGAATATTAATTTTACCTGAAGATCTTTCAAAGGGAGAAAACACATCTAACCATCAGGTTATTTGAAACATTGTTTTGTAGTAAAGCAAACATGTTAATGGAGTAGAATAACAAATTTTCATGAATTTGTAAGGTAAAACAAGAGACTTCAAATTATTTAATTGTGGAGAGTCACTTAGGTCTTGCCCTGACCTCTTTTCATATTTTGCTCGAGAATCGGAGCAAATTTAGAAATGTCTGAGAAGTGCTGCAAGTCATGCCTGGAGTTGGGCGGCAGTGGTGCTGACCACACAGACCCGAGCAGAGAGGAAAGGCAGGTCTCGGGGGCTGGGAGCTGGGGGCCGGAAGGCTTGGTACTCAAGGAGTCAGCTAGAGCCCCGAACAGAGCCCACTGTGGCGTGGGGTGGAGAAGGCAGCTCTGATAGGGCCGCAGGGTGCTGGGCACAGGCCAGGGGCCAGGGTCTGGCCTTCAGGGGCTGTCAAGAACCCCCTCCTCCCCCAGTTGCCAAGTCCCCCCAAATGAACATGCTTCCTAAGAACGGATGAGGCACTGTGTAAGTGAAACTTCAAGAGAAGTCCCCTGGCCTAGCATACTCACAACCAGATGGCCACCGTAAGATCCTTCTAGAGAAATTCTGGTCCTGTACCGTCCTTTATGTCAACCAAGGTGGTTTGCAGGGTGTTTCTAGGGGCAAGGAAAGTCACACTGACTTACGTATGGTCAACGGTGCCTTTGAGGAAAGCAATTAGCTCTCCTTAGGGCCATCCTCTCCTTTCTTAAAGGGACCCCATTTCACAAATAGAAATCTAATTGGGAGTCAAGTAGTTGACCGAATTGACTCCTCATTTGTCAGTGTCTTTCCAGGCCCCATTATTTTTAAAAGTTCTCATGCCAATTTAGGAAAAAAGCTTCCAGTTACCCTGTAATCAGTCACAAGGTTAACTGGAACCCAACAATCCTAACATTTCTTTTTTCCTCAAGCGCACTTTTGATAGACTAATTAATGTAGCATGTCTTTACAAGATGATGTTGGATGGTATAGAGATGCACAGATTTACTAATACAATAGCTTCCCCTTATCTACAGGGGATACATTCCAAGACTCCCAGTGGACATCTGGAACCATGGACAGTACTGGACCCTATATATTCCATATTTGTTTTTTCCTACACATACATACATATGATAAAGTTTAATTTACAAATGAGGCACAGTAAGAGATTAACAATAATAAAATAGAACAATTACAATATAGTGTAATAAAAGCTACATAATGTCTCTCTCAAAATATCTTATTGTATTGTACTCATTCTTGTGATGTGAGGATAAAATGCCTACATGAGAGGAAATGAGGTGTATGATGTAGGCATTGTGACCTAGTGTCAGGCTACTACTGACCTGAGGATAGGAGGATCACCTGCTTACAGACAGTGGTTTCCCACAGGTAACTGAATCCTCAGAAAGCAAAACCATGGATAAGGGGGCACTACTGTGTTGTATCACTTGAAGCCCTTAATGTGGAAGATCTTTTAGAGGGAATGGTCCAGATAATAAAATCGAGTACTTTCAGTAAGTTTTCTGGTTGCATTTAATAATATTTTTCTTGAAATGGTCAGTCTAATATTTTACTTTTGACTTTTACAGTTGGAAACTGGATCCCATTTTAGAAAAGGATATTAATAGGACTAATGTGATATGTGGAGTCAGGTTAAGGACCAAGCAAATATACTGGCTCAAGAGCTGAGGGATTATCTGGCAAGATTACTTAGAAGTTACTGAAACAATTTATGGCTGCATTTATTTTACAAGCAATGGATGGACTGTTGTAAAAGCTCTAATTGTAAGTAGCTGCATTATTTGTGAGATGTTCAAAAACTCTTCAGGATAATTATAAAATACCCTAAAACTCATGGCATACCAAATGACATCCTGCATCCAGCAAGAGAGCAAGTTATAAAAGAGCACAAATTATCAAAAGCATTGTTAATATGTTACTATCTAAACCATGTATTTTTTCATTTGTGATATATTTTTCAATTCATGCCTCCCTAACATTTTCCAAAGTAGTTATTCACCCCACTCGGTTTACTAAATATTGAAAAATGGAACCATGCTCCATAATCTTAGTTTTTGACAGCAAAGTTTAGGAGAAATGAATAATCTTACATTGCATAGTACTGTTTGATATCACTTTTCATTTAAAAAAGTCAAGTAAAGTTGATTTTTATGTTCTGATTGTTTATTGTTTAGAATCTATCATTCCTTTCCATTTCAACAAGATTTTGAAAGAATATACAATTCTTTACTCAAGGGGAAACTGTGATAGAGGTAATAGAAGAAAACACAAAAAGCCAACTTTAACTATTAAGAACCTTCTGGATACCCGACATACAAGGGCAGTGTTTGAGTGGCCAGAAGAGCGCTTGTGTCAGCAAACATTGGGTGTGGGCTACACATTACTGGAACCTGGCTACTGTGGCAGAAACTTGCAGGGCTTCAGTTTTCTGATGTAACAAGATGTCTGGAAGTAGACAGGTCGGGACAGGTGCAGCTGCTTGAGGAAGTTATCATGGACCCAGGCTCCTGGTCGGCACCACCTCCTTCATCCTTTGCCAGTGAGTTTTATCCTTAGGGTGGAAAGCCCACACCTGTCCTCTGGCACCCCATATGCCTTTCAGGAGTAGGTAGGGCAGGGAGCTTTCTCGGTTTGAAGATTTGCCCTTAGGCAGGAAGGGATCCCACCACCCCAGTCCAGCCCATCACTTGGCCACACCTATCCCTCATCTTAAAATTAATTTCTCATCTTGCCACTCTTGATACAATCTGGGTGCTTTCACACCCAGGCAATGGGTATTAGGTGAACTGCAGTGTCTGCTGTCCTTTGCATCACAATCAACTGTGTTGTTAAAATTTAGAACTTCTGGTCAATTTCTGGGAGCTGGCCCCTGGGCTCCTCGTGATTAATGCATACTGAAGCTTGAGAACCCCTACACAAGGGTAGGTTGGTGGTGGTGGGGGCACAGTACCATATACGAGGCAGACAGAAGACAAAACCTCCTTCTAGGCATTATCAGGATGCTTTTGGCCACCACGAGCTACAAGATTACCTTTCTGCGTATCTTATAACCAAATCATTTGCTGATTCTTTGAAGTCACACAGACTGCCTCTCAAATTCCTTAAGCTTCTCTCATAGCCACAATGGTCATATATTCATCCTCAATTGATCAATCTTTGGATGCATAATACAACTTACTCTGTTCTCCCTATGAAAATTGAGAGCAATAATTCTCATTAGGACAACCCTACTCTTCAAGCCCAACAGCATTATTAAAAACATACTTAGGATCACTTCTATCCTGGAAATGCACATTCATTATATTTGGAAAAGCATACTTTTACAAAGCCTCATGGCTTCTTGGCTGCTTAGTGATAGAGCCTGAACTCCATTTGAGGCTATATGACTCCCTTTTCTTTGAGCTTTCTCAGCATCTTTGTACTGACATCCATCATCTGTGTGGATAGGGTAGAGAGGGCCAAGTAAGACACTGGGGATTGGGCTCCTGAATAAGTGAGGACAGGGGAATTAGGTTCACTGGGGGGAAAGCAGATGAATTCAGTTTAGCATTTGTAAATTTAACGGCAAATGTCCCATTGGTCAGTAAAGACAAGATTCAAATTTGAATAATTAATGGAGAGTTAGAATTTGACCTGTCCTCCAAGTTAAAGCCAGACTCTCCAAGAGACAAGGACTACAGAAAGCAAACAGTCAAGGACAGAGAAGCGAGGAAGCCATTGCTAGGCAGGTCCCGGGATTAGAGAGAAGAAATTTGCTCTAAGAGGACGAGAGAATGTTATTTCTTTAAGTGCAAAACAACCTTTGATATGGAGAAGAGGTAAAGGTGGGATGCAGGCCCTCTTGGTCCTCTCAGACGAGCATCCCCAGGGCATGAGCAACATGGGATCTCATGACATCCTCAACCTCAGTGCTACCATTTTACTCCAGGCTTAATGACTTGTCTACATGTGGCACCAGGCACCATGTTTTACATTATTCTACCTGATAAAAATATAGAGGGCTACATGCAAGAGACTATACCACGTATGGGGCACTTGCTTTTAGAGCTAGAACTCATGAGCTTCCTAAACCTGAGAGCCCATGACCTTGGAATAGTTTAGTATGCTTTCCAGAAAAGCCCAGATTCCATAATCAAGATTCATTTTTCTAAGCCCAGCCATCCAATTAAAGCATTAAGTTAGGAGAGCTCTTTTATGGCAGGGGTTGCAAACTTGAGAGACTGCAGGACCTAGGGGTGGCATGGATGGAGCTATGTGAGGAGCCACATGGGCCAAGAGGTATGGTGAAATTCACATTCATCAGCTATTCCTCCACTTCCATTATATGAAATTTTACGTATCTGTCTTTGGAGAAAAGTACTAATGTCAATCCTAGCAAGGAACCTCTGCCCTTCAGGACAGGAATCTACTAGTACTAAAATGTGACAACAGATGTCTCTGATTCAGTTTCACAAAGGATTTATTTACTGCTCCCCAAATCAAAATTCTTCCCCACTACAAGAATAGTTTTGTAGTAAAACATTTTTGAACACCCTTTCCTCTCTTCCCAAGGCATGGCGTTTCATGTGCCCATTGTCATGGAGCAGACTGACACATGGAAACGCTCCGCATGAAAGGCATATGGCACTGTCATACTGCTCACTTTCTGGTCCACATCCCTGGCAGGCAAGTGGAACCCTTTCTACAGCCTCCCTCTTTTGCTAGACATTTACTGAAAAATATTCTTTATAGAAAAATAAGGATCCCTCCCCTCTGCTCATCCCACTTTAGTTACCTACTGGAAAAGTACAGAGCTAAAGTTTTTTTCCCCCAGCTGTGATCAGAACACTGAATACTGAAGACCATCTAAATAGGTTACTCTAAGTTCTTGGTTAAATACTTACATATCTGCAGAGGAACTTGAACCTCAACTTTTGTTGCTCCCCAAAATGAGTAACAGAAGGGAGGGTTTCATTAGAACAGTTAAAAAGAACTGACAGTCTTTCTATGATAGAGCAAAGCAAGCTCCAACCATCAACAAATACTACCTCATGGATCATAAATCCTGCAGAGATGCAACAAGATCTGAGTCTCAAAAATAGCATCTATTTCAAAGAGAGTCACCAGGGACTGCTACAATCCACGAACAGATCAAAACGCTGGTGAAGGCACAGAGGAAAGAACCCCAGGAAATTTCTAGTGCCACTTTCATTTAATAAGCCAGTAGAATAGCAACCTAAAGACCTTGGCTATGATCACATCAAGGCGTTTTTATGGAATCGCTGTTGGAAAACATGATTGGCAGCCGGCACCTCAAGCTCACTGTGCTGAGTGAGTGGTTCCAGTACCGACTCCTTGGAGACCTAGGGCTGGGGAGTGTAGCGGAGGTATTTCTTGCCAGATGGAAGCTCTTTGGTGAAGACTCCTTTTGGGAAAAGTTTTTTGGCTTCCTCTTCAGGGATGGTTGGAAGGACCATCACGCTATCTCCATCCTATTCAAAGACATTGAGAATGATGGAATTCAGTCTATTGTGAAGTCTAAGGGCAAGAATTAACTTCAGAAAAGTAGCTACAGGGGCTAATGAGACTAATCAAGTATTATTTGCTACCTCCCCTCAAAGGCATGTTTTCACAAGTTGACCGTTGACACTTCTGTGAGGGAAATATTTCCCTACTCTGTCAAGAAATAGATCTGTCTTAAAGTAATGGATTGCCACTGCACATTAAGATTTTAATTCAAAGTCCTTACTCTTGCCTTGCATAACTGAGTCCTGCCTCTCTCATCCCTGGCCCCTCATCCCCTCCTGCCCCCCCTTTCCCAGGCACTGTATCTTTCCTATTTCTCCAACATGTTGGGCTCAGTTTTAGGTGAAGCTCCCTCCTGTTCCTTCTGCCAGGATAACAAATATGCATCATGTGGCCCCTCACTTTCTTCTTGTCTTTCCCAAAGGGCCCTTTACAGAAAGGCCTTCCTTTACAGACAAATATAAAACCAATCCTCCCATTCCTGTGCTCCATTCTCCCCACCTTGGCTTGGTTATTTGTCACACTCCTTGCCACCTGGTATGCTACAAACTTGTTTGCCAACGTGTCTCTACCCAGCGGAATGTTAAGTTCTATGAAGGCAGGGACTTCATACTGTTCATTGCTATACCTTAGTGCCCACTGCCTGGGCTCAATAAACATACATTTAATGAACGGATATAGAATTTAAACGATTTGCCTGTCAGAAGAAAACAAAAAAAAAAACTGGTATTCAGGTTAGCATATTTAAAAAAATGTAGCAGCATTAAGATACTCTTGTGATAGTATCTACATTCTATATAAGGCAGAAATCCTAGAGATTAAAGATTTATGGACAAGTTCCAGAGAATTCTACATGGGTTTAGAAGACTGAAGCTTAAGATAAATGAAATGCTTCATGACATTCACACACCAAATAGTTTTATAGCCGTGACCTACGTGGTCAATGTAAGTTTTGTTGTAAATGTTCTGCTGTCAGAGAAAATTTAAAGGTTAAAAAAAAATCCTTTTATTAGGAAAAGGACTCATTCTGACCCATTAATTTGTCCAAATAATCTAAAAGTTAGAAAGCAATATAGGAAGCTGGTGTTTTATATAAAAGTTATTAAAGACCTTGAAAATGGTCCCTCAGTATATCTTTCTTAAACTCGGCCACGAGGAAATCTTCCCAGGTAACACAGACCCTGAAGGCGGCCATTCAGAGATGGTCCCCAGGCCATCCAGGTGAGGGGGGTCCCTGCCCTTTAACATCTTTACCTTCCAGTCCACTGGGGTGGCGACCCTCTTCTCCGCTGTCAGCTGGAGAGAGATAACTACGCGGAGAATCTCATCGAAGTTCCTGCCGGTGGTGGCTGGGTAGAGGATAGACAGCTTCAGTTTCTTATCAGGACCAAACACAAACACCTGCGAAGCACACACATATATAAGCAGGAAGCGTTAGGTGTTTTTCACATTAAAGCCTCTCAGAATGCCCTTCATCATTAAAAATGTTCAAGGGTGTAAAAAATAAACCAAAACCACAACAAGAACAACCCTAAACATCTAGAAGGATACATCACACTGCTGATCTGGGTGGCCAGGATGTAGATAATCTTCTCCATGTTATTGTTCTAAAATTTAGAAGACAATTCATTGGTTTCTGCTGTCTCAGTAAGAAAAGTTGACACGCAAACTGACTCCAGGAAAGGCCTCAGAAGATACTATGCTAACTAGGGACGCTAATCATGGAAACAGACATGAAAGTTGATGCTGGTCCTCAAAGAGTTATAGATTTTTGCTGATGAGGGACTGTTTTTCTCTAGTGGGTTAGGAGAGAACAGGAATTCAAAACCAGAGTGGCCTTACGAAGAATACATGTGATCCATCACTTTAGAGAGGACTGTCAGGAGAGCTAGAGAAGAGTTTCCTCACTTCTAGATGACATCTTAAAAAAACTACTTACTTTATGTAGCTTTCCAAAGGCTATGAATTAAGAAGTTTAAAAAATTTAGCTGAAGATTTTACTGTGCGTCGGCATCACAGATCATCAGTGAGACCGCCGCGAATAGTTATTTTGGAATTGGAGGCGAGCACCTGTTTCCTCTAGCTGCTCCACACACACTTAGACGTAGGGCCTGACGACCATGTAATCTGACTTCCACAACTCACCACACGGGCAGTCACAGGCATGCCCTTTTCGTCCTTCTCTGCTGGGTCCAGCATGCCCAACAGGATGGCAAGCTCCCGATTCTTATCATCAATGATGGGGAAGGGTAACGTTTCTCTGGGCTCCTCACCGTTGTAAGCATTGATATCCTGCAAGGCAGATGAGAGGGAAAGAGAAATCCAAACCAGGTACATCTTCTGAATTCAGTCAAGAGGGGACCATTATCCCCCCAATTTTCTCTAAGCAATTTTAATAAGAAAATGAATGAACACTCCTCATCCCAATTATCACAGACATGAATAACAGTATGGTGTAGTACTAAGGTCATAACCATAGATCGTTTCCATGCCCAATTCTCTTACTGCTGTGAGAAAGCTGCAAGCAGTAAACTCTTTAAAAAGTTGAACAATATAGAGTTAGATCTCAATTTAGGGTACCTCTGGGTACCCAAAAGAACCACCAGAAATAATGGGTTCATCAGTCCATCACATCGAGAAATAATGTGACATGCAAAGATTAACTCATAGATCTGGTCCCTTCCTCAAAAACACCCTAACTCAGACATTAAGCCGTTGTAAGAAGGGGAAAAAAATCATAAAACTTAAACACAAGAAGGGAGAGTTGAAAATATACTTCAAGGACAAGTCAAAGATATTTTTTATGGGCAGAAAGGCAGAGGTAAATTTACACTGAGGTGAAATCCACACAGAAAACAAAGCCTTTCCAGCCTGAACTAAAAGACAGTAATGTACCGTTCCCCTCTCTCTACCCTCTCTTCCCTTAGTAAAACTTCATTCATCTCTACTTCTCCTATCTTTGGAAGCTTTTGGGGGGGAAAAAAACCTAGCTTCATTATTTGATCAAGCATTGATACAGCACTTAAGGTGGGCTAACCTCATGATAAGTACATGTGGGATACATATGAGTAAGACACAGTTCCTGCCTTCAAAGGAATTTCTACCTAGTTAGATGGTTCCCATATGAAATACCAGCAAATGCAAAAATGTAATACTTGGACGTCAGATTGTGAATGGTGAAGTATACTACCATGTGCAGAACTGCTGCGTTAGGAAGGATTCAAGAAAGGGGTAGGACTTCTACCTGCGTCCTGAAGGCTGGGTATGATTTTCACAGGGAAAAGGAAGGCATTATAGGGATGAGAAACAATATTAATGAAACATGTAGGCAAGCTTGAACATAAACTATTGATAGGAGAGTTTATCAACTCTTTTATACTTTGCATCAGCATTACAGATGACCAGTGAGAGTGCCACTATTACAGTTATTCTGTAATTAAAGATAGGCCCCTATTTCTTCTAGTTGGACATCTATCCCATTTCCTTTAGCTAAGTTAGCTTTGTAGAGTTTTAGGCCTTGGCTGGGTAGAGTTTCAGCGAGTACTGGAAAAGAGATTTTAAAGCTGGAATAAGGTCTATTATGTGGAGCCTTGAAAGTAATAAAGCAGGGGTTTGATGGCATGCCAGACACACAGAACCTTTGTGGATTTCTCAACAGAAATGCAATAGGATAAAAGTGGCATTTATAAACTTTGAAATGGATAGCAACAAATACAACATATGCCTTGATTTTATTATCTTAACTTCCCTTCTGCTGTCACTGGCTGCCTATCAAGCCACCACAACTAAATAATAATCGATATGGCTTCATGCTAGAAGCACCTAGAGGTTTCCTCTATAACTAGTTCCATGTCAAAGTTTGGGCTCTATGTCTGATAGTTAGGACTTGTTTCCCATTCAGTGCAATCACAATTTTGAAAATTCTAAGACAGAAGTTGACCAGTTAAGATGAACCTGGGTATGCTCCTATACTTTAAAAGGTATTTCATAATCCAGTGATCTTTAGTTTTGATTATTGCTATGCAGTCATTTTCAATCCTGCCACTGGCTGGATAGGCATTACATTACATCCATGAACACCAAAGAACCATATGCCTTGGCTTTATTTTATCCTAAATCAGGCTAATTCCTACTTTCTATTATCTAGTATCAAAAAACCAGCATTGGTTTGAGGTTCAAATCACATTGCCATCATTTTCTGGCAGGACAACCTTGAGCAAGTCCCTCCAACTCTCTGGGAGAGAAAATTTTCTCTGCAAAAGAGAGCAGAAACTACATACACTTCCCTTATGGGGCTGCTACTATAAACCAGTGAGAATACTGCAGAAATGCCACTTAGCATTCACTGCCAAATGGAAGGCATGAGAAACACTCCACCTCAATGAGAAAGACCCTTCTCTCTTCTTATCTCACACATAGGACTACCTGGCATGACATGGCTAAGGGATGCAGTCCCAGGCATCCACTTGCAAGTCACCGTTACACCTTTTATTCAGTTGCATGCAAGGTGCTTGACATAGTGCCTGTTATGCAGTAAGCATCCCTTGAGTCACCCCATCTTTATTTAGTAGGACAGGGCAGCAAAGTCATTAGGATGTTCTCATGTTGAGTGTAGACCACATTTATTGTTCAAGTGAATAGTTTTGTTCGGAGTGGACAAGTCCTTCAGTTCTTTTATTCAACAAATAGGTACTGGCTGCCTGGGATGCAATGAGGACCGAGCACTGTTGCCACAAAATAGGAGCCTCTCCTGGGCCTCCACTCTGGCGGAGAGTCACAAACAAGCAAATGAAATCAGCAATGTCCAAGGTATTGTAGTAGATGGTGACAAGTGCTCAGGAGAAAAATTTATCAGAGGCGGATAGGAGTATGGAGGGGAGTTACACCTGTAGGACACCAACAAGATCTTCATGAGGTGTCCCTGGAGTCAAGGCCTGAAAAAGTCCAGGACGAGTCACAAAGACACCTGGGGAAAAGTTTTCCAAGTAGGATTCTGGTTATATTTTGCAGGTAGGGCAGACAAGTTTGCTGCTGAATCAGACATGTGATGTGAAAAAACCATAGGAATTAAGGATGACTCCTGGATTTCTGCCTGAGCAACTATAAAAATGCAGTTGCCATTAGCTAAATTAAGGTTCTGGGATTAAGAACAGGAGCCCAGTTTTGAACACAGTGCTGAGTAGGCAGTGGTTATGCCCATCTGGAAGCCAGGAGAGTCTGACCTAGAGATGGAAATCAGGGAATCATAAAGTATAGATGGGAGTGGATGAGCTTCACCAACCAAGTATAGATAAAAAGAGAAGAGGTCCAAAAAACAAGTCCATGCAACTCCAGCATAAATTAAAGAGTCGGGAGATGATTGTACTCAGTCTGGGCATGAACAGAACAGCTACAGATGTAGCGTCTGGGAAGCCAAGAGGGGAAACTGTTTCAGGACATACAGAGATCAGCTGGTTGAATGGTGCTGACTGGACAAGAAAGATGAGGGCTGAGAACTGACTACTGGATTGAATAAGGTGAAGGTTACTATGTAATCCAAGTCAGATATTCAATTAATTAGAGAAGTCTGAGTGTGAGGTTTACTTGTACCTTTGCCTTAAAAAGCCAAGTTACTCTATATAATTATAATGTGTTCTCTAAAAGCCCATGCCAAATCAGAACTATACCTTGCTCCAGGCAAGATGGTCTTCAACACTGTCTATTGAAAGGGCAATCATTTTCACGTTCCTCTTGGCAAATTCTGGTGCCAGCTTTGCAGCTCTGCCAAGCTCTGTGGTACACACTGGGGTAAAGTCCCGGGGGTGGGAGAAGAGAATGCCCCATCTGAAATGAAGGAAAAGTAGGTCACAACTGAATGAAGACGTTATCACCCAACATCATGGAGAATGAGAACTCACAAATGCTAGATCAAAAATGGCTTTGCTTTTAAAATGAATGCTTCCAAAGACAATTACTTATAAAATTTCTGTTGAGAAATACCTTTTGATCTTACCTCTAGAAAAGCCTATGTTTAAAGCCCAATTCAAAGACAGGACATTTATAATAAATTATTTTAAAAGACTGTAATTTAAGGGTGTTGCCTCCTTTAATAACTACAGGGCCACCATGACTCCTTTTCAGCTAGTAAACTGTGCTTCGCAAACCATGTAGCTTATGGAAATAACTATTTTTTTCTAAGCACAGAGACTCTGACATTCAGCTCCCAGATTGGGTGTCCCAGTATGCCCTGAATCCAACAAATGCCTGACTGCAGTAATAAAGATTATGTAATCTGAAATAAATAGGCTTCTATCCTCTATTTATATGTAAAATTAAAGTTAACATGTGGTTTACTGAAAGGGAATGGATATAAAAAGTTTTTGTAAAACTACTTTACTGACCTAACCTGACAAACAGGACACCCAATATTTGTGCCTTGACAAAGTAATAGCACTTTTAAGAGTTTTACCTATCTCTTCATTTGCATTTTCTTCTTGCTTTAGACCCAGTAGGTAGAAAAGTGACCGCCTACAATGTACAGATTCTCAGATAGCCAGTACCTAAATCCTCACAGCCTAAGGTTAAACTTGTATCGATTTTAAACATGTTTCAAGCTAAAAGTCGCCAAAAACCTTTGGAGTACCATTTCCTTCTCCTTGGTGACAGATAGTACTCTTTCTACTGAAAAGAAAAAATTTAACTCTCGGTTTTCCACATGGCTATTGATTTACAACATTTAAGCAGGACTCTGAAGATTACTAAATATAGCCTAGATGTCACAATGACCTCTCCAAAGTTTGCCAAATTTCCTGAAGCACAAAAAACAAAGGAGAGACAAGGATACTTTCTTCTCACCTCTATTTGCCATTCAGCTCTCAAGGCTTCAGGAAAGGAAAGACCCTCTTATAAAAAGGGTAGAAGGCCCTAAGGCAAGCCTGGGAAGGGAGGAGTAAAATTTCAAGATTGTGGAGGGGTGCGGTATGTTTACTTTTTTATAAAGGGGAATACTGGGGACACACACATTTTGAAATAATTGAAATGTAAGTAAAATCTAGGCCTTAGTTTCTAGGGAAAGGATTTGTGTAAGGGTCAGATGTGACTTCAGAGAAAGTCTCCAGAAGTTGAAAAAAAAATGAACAGAGCATTTTTTCCTCCTGTATCGTCAAAAGGGTGATGAATTAGACAAGTTAGGTGTTTTTTTTTTCCACTGTGAGTCGAGACTGTTTTGCTGATCATGCTAAAGGATCATTTTACGCCACTTCACATCCTCCCCTTTTAGAAGCCAACTCCAGTTAATGCATGGCTAGGAGGAGTTGTAGACTCTCTGAGAAAGTCTTCCTATTGTGGGCTGAATCTCCCAACTGCTGCTCTTCAAAGTAATTCAATTACATTATCCCATTTCCTTCCTTCCTCATTTTCAAAAGACAAAAGATTTCCTCTTTTACGGTAAGGGTCCCCACTCACTAATACCACCACCACCACCACCACCACCACCACCAATGCATGTTTTATTTGGTGAAGATGTGCTGTGCAGAAGCTGCTTCTAGCACATACGTACAGAAATAGTGATAAGGCTCAATAAAGTCACCAAAAGCGGCACCTAAACCCCTTAGTTGTTTCCAATGGTCAGGAGGCAAAATTTTAAACTATTAAAATTATTTAAATTATTAAAAAATTTCCAAAAAACATCCCATAAAGAACGGGGTTTGGGAAAAATTATATTGGGCAAATCCACGTATTATGATAGAAAGTGCTCAAGCTTCTTTCTGGGGTAGGGCAGGGAATACTGTCCATGCCTGATGGGAAGCAGACTCGTATTTGTTCACAGATGCAGTATTTTTCTCATCTTCCTGCTGGTGGCTCCCAGAGAAGGTACCAATTTTAACCAAGATAGATCAGAAACCAATAAACAACAACCTCCCTTACCCCACAAAAAAGTAGGGTTAGCTTAGTGACAGCATTTATATTATTTCTAATTATATCACAAATATGCTTTATGTTAATATTTATCTTCTCTCTAGAAAACCTTAGGGTTCTGGCAAATTTTTGTTTTATGGGGTCAGGGCTGTAGGTAGAAAAGGGAAGGACCGTGCTTTGAAAATCCCATGGGGTTCTGGAAAATACTAATACCTAGAACCCCACTATGAGACTGGAATCAGTCTGTATTTCCGAAGTCTTTTCCTGCCTTTAAAGTCTGAGTGCCACTTCTCATCCTTTTTCTAGCCTGGTTCTCTTTCATAATGCTTAGCTTTTCCCTTAACCAGTGGCTGGAAAATGGATTTTAAGGGGTGGTAGGGTTGGGTGGGCTTCAAGGATAAGATTCTCTCTCAGTTCTCGGTACAGCTCTGTCAATCACTGATGACTCTAATAAACTTCCTCGTCTGTATATACATATAGATACCTAGATACTGTTAAACCTTCCATCATCAGTGTGCAGGGCCCACTGGGACTCCTGAACCATAACATAACTAGATACATCTGGGATGTTTCAAATTAAAACTAAGCAACTTAGAATTGCTGATTCAGGAGTTGTAAAACCAGGGTGACACCAATTTACTCTTAGTCATAACGGTATAACTGCCAGCAGACCATGGGTCACCAATTCGGCTTTCACCAGCAAGAACAAGTGCTTGCTGCTGGAAGCCACGTGGAAGGGGGAGGAGGAGGCACTGAGGTGGCACCACTGGGAAACAAAAGGGTCTCAGAGCGGGGCGGCACACGTGTCCCGGCGCCTGCCATGGCCTACTCTGCCCAGAATAGGTCACAGCAACTCAACAACCTCAGCGGGGTCTTCCCTCAAAGTGTTGCAAGTTCTGGAATGAGGGGCACACATACTGAGCGTTCTCGGTTCCTCCCAAAGCTGTTACCAAATGATATCATCTTGACCGCGGGAGGAGGCTCCAGACAAAAAGTCTTTCAGCCACTTATTTGGTAGCTGGCGGTTTAAAATTTTGCATTTTATGCCGCGAAGCCTGCAGATGTCATTGCAGCAAGCAGAACCCTCAGTTTAACACGCAGGGCCCTCTCCGAACCTTCAACAGCAGTGTCTTCTGATTCGGTCTTGGGAACCAACCCTCCCCAGGGAGCAAATTCCAGAACACAGAAAGAAGGTGCGATCGACGCCGCCCGGCCCCTGCGCCCCAGCCTCGGTTTGACCGCGCTACACGCAGTTTACGGAACGAGTCAAACGCACAACAAACCGTTCTCCGCACGGCCCCGCGCTAGCGGACCTGCGGGAGCCTGACTCGTCCAGTCTCCCGCCCCGGAGACAGCCCGGCCATGCCGGGGCTCGGGGGGACTCGGGGGAACTCGGGCGATCCGGGGCCGGAGCACAGGTGCATCAGGGGTCGGGGGCATCGAGGGGATCCCGGGCCGGAGGCCGGGTAGGGCCGAGGCTGGGGCAGGGGGACCGGACCGGCGCGGCTCTCAGGCCCCAGCGAGCAGGCACGTGAGGGAACCGGTGCGGGAGGAGCGGGCGGAACAGGGGGCCGAGGGGGAGGAGGACGGAAGGCTGAAGAAATATGGAAGGCAGCTCGAGTACGGCCGTGATCCGAGGCCAGGGCAGGGCTCCGAGGGGGGCCACTTACGAGTCTCCCAGATAGTCGTGGAAACGGATGCGGCCGATGGTAGTGTTGGCCTCGAAGTTGGGAGCCTCGTCCCCGAGGAGGAGACCTCCGGGCATGGCGGCGGCGGTGACGCGGGAGGACGAAAAGCCGCAGCCACGACAACCAGCAGCCACTTGATCGGCCGATGGAAGTGTGCGCTGCACGGTAAGTGGAGCCCCGGGAGGCGGGCGGGAGGCCTAGCCTGGGTGGGCGGGGCCGCGGCGGGGCGGGTGGGGCCGGATGGCGGTGCGGGAGGAGCGGAGGCGGAGCAAGAGGGCAGGGGCGGGGCAAGAGCTGGACGGCCCCGGCGCAGTCCCAGGCTCCTAGCTCCCGGACCCGGTAGGTCCCAGCGCGCGTCTCCTCACGTGACCTGGGTTCTGTGACGTAGTCCCTGGAGGCTAGGTTCGTTGCAGTGCGTTTGGGCTTTGGAGGTGCAGGAAAGCGGGACGCGTAGGGAGGAGACCGAAGGCAGAATCGTGAGAGGCAGGCTCAGGCCGCGGGCACGGCCGGCCCGCCGAGCGGCAGAAACCCGCGGAAACCATCCTGCGCACCCCCTGGCGGCCGACTCCGGCGGAGGGGGTGCAGCGACCCCTCCGCTGCCCCTCAGTTAGGGTGAGCGTCCGGAATCCTGACAGCCCCCGCCGCCTCGCCGTCGGGAACTCTGCGTCAGAGGATGTGGCAAGACCCAGACGGGGGTGGGGGACCTTATGTCAGAGGAAGTGGCTTCTTATTGCGGCAAAAATTCCAGCACCCATGTCATTGCCTAGGGGAGTATGACCAAATTTTTACTATTATTTAACTCCGCCTTCCAGAAGTCATTATATGCCATAAAATATTCAACACACCTTATCCTGAAATCTAAATTTAAAATGTAAAATACACTTCCTGTGATCTACTGTGTGCATGTCAACTCGGCCACACAAGGAGGTGGGAAGTTTAGATATATTTATTTGCTTTCTTTGTACCAAGCAGGAGGTAGACAAGATGACTGTTCCTTGAAGTTCCATTCTAGTGGGGACAGGTAATTAAACAAGAATATATTACATAGCAGTAAATCCTATTCGGAGAGATGAAATAAGATCATGTGCTGGGAGGTGATGGGGAGCTGCCTTGGGTTAGGTGGTCTTGCTTGGGAAAACTTGCACTATAATTGTAGGTAAACTACTGCTAAGTGAGTGCTCTGGGAATGGAAGCTTTTATCTGTATGATGATAATGGTTTATGCAGTTCTTGCTTTGCCATCTATGTACTAGGCGCTGTGCCAGGCCTGGTGATACAATGGAGAGATACACCCTGCTCTTACAGGGAAGACAGAGTTATATGCAGTTGTGATAAAAATGTAGGGTAAATGCTGAGGAGTTGACGCTTGCCAAATGGTTAGAGTTCAGAAGTGGGAAAAAACCTCTGGACGGAGATTCTCAGCTATAAGGAAGGCATATGGCGGTGTAAAGAGCAGTGACTCACATACTGCAATTTCAGTTTGCATCATACTGATGTTTTTGTGTGCGTGCATGCTCATCACATTTACTCAGTTCTCTGAAAAAGGACTTGCAGTAAGATTACTGTTAGAGTTTCCAGCCACTATGTTTAGCTAGTATAATCTGTTAACTAATTTGACTCCAAACTTTGGTTTAAAAAATGCTATGTCTTAACTCCTTGTGTAGGGGAGAAAGGGAAGAAAAGGGAAAGGAGAGTAAATATGGAGACAGGCTAGACAACAGAGATATACCACAAATATGATGAATGAATACAGAACAGGTTACTGATCTCTATAAATGACAGAATCATAGAATGGTCTATTGTAAATTAAGCAAATATAATCAGATAAACACCCGTTAGAATTACAGTGCCACAATCTCTGGCATGTTGCTGCACTGATGGACAGTGATTGCATTGTGTTATGGGTGGGGACATGCTAATATGGGTAAATTTAGTAACCACATTGTTTTTTCATGTGAAACCTTCCTAAGAGTGTATATAAATCATACCTTAATAAAAAATTTAAAAAAAAAAAGAGAATCACAGTGCCACAGATGGCACCCTGACAATCTTACTGCACCCTGTAAACTTGTTTCTTTAGCTTTTGCAGCATTTGAAATTCTTCTGAATTAGGTGTCAGCATTTTAAACATTACTTTTCACAAAAATATCTGGATTTCTGTCTCCTGAAAAATCAAAAGATCTAGCCACATGGGGTCCGTGTTCCACTTAGCAGACAGTGACTGGAGAATAGCTTTCTAGGAGTGCGTATGTTTCCTATTTATTTTAAAGGTCTCCCACCACTTACTGACATTAAGTATTTATTGTCATTTTAACCCCACTCTTGCATGGTTATTTCACTTAGAGGATAATTAGGAGAAAGTGAATCCTGTCTTAACATATCCCTATCTCTGTCAAGATTGTGGAAATGAAAGTTTGACTAAAGACCTTAGGAACCAAGGAGGAACAAGAGTAGAGCATATTTCTTTGTAATCAAATGTTCTCATACACTTAACATGCAAACACAGTCGAAAGAACCGTATCTGTCCCGCCTGCCCCTTGTAGGTAGTTGAGTTTAACCTCTGTGCTACACTGAGGTAGGTGCTCTGTGGGTTGAGCCCCATTCTAGAGGGAAAAGGTTAAAGCTGTTTTCCTAAGGGCTAGCAAGAAGTCCATGGGGAAGGAGGGAAGGAGAGGACGGGGCAGGGGAGGCGTTCTAGGGAGGCACCAGAATGTGGAAAAGAGAGAGCTAGGCTAAGGGAAGGATTACTGTGCAGAGATGGAGTTTCTGAATCAGAAAAAAATGTTTTCAGGCAGTTGTCAGGGTTGGGGAGAGCATTGAAGTCCTTAGAGTTACCTCCACAGCGAGAGGAGGGGAGTAATTGCAGGGATTCAGAGGGCTTGACTCTTGGCTGATGATAGTCCCTTCTGTCTTTATTGCTTTGAACAGACTGAAGGAAGAGGTGAAGGGCTTCGAAGTGGCCATTTGGAAGAACAACAGTACATTATGTGTGTGTCTCTCTCCCCCTCTCACTAGGTTGTGAACTCCTAAAGGTTTAACTGTATTTTTTTGATAAATATTATCTGCTAATCATAGTGGTGTCTTGCCAATGGGTTTCAGCCCCAGGCAAGTTTGCTATGGATTCAGTATGACCAGAGAAAATTACAGCAAAACGTTTTTGGGGTGAAAGGGTTATACCCAACTTTATTTCCAGGTGGCAGGTCAATCACTAAAATCCCATTCAGTTAGAGTGAGTCTGCATGCAGCAAGCCGGTCTCTGCGTCTGGGCCTCTCAGCCCACACAGCCATCCTCTGGGCCTCTCTGCACAGTTGTCCTGCACAGCCATCCTTTGGGCCTCTCTGCACAGTTGTCCTGCACAGCCGTTCTCTAGGCCTCTCTGCACAGTCATCCTGCACAGCTGTCCTCTGGGCCTCTGTCCTCAGCGCTGCCACCACTCCAGCCTCTACTCTGCTCTCCTGCAGCCTTGCAGCCCCACCACGGTGTGTGCCCAGAGCCCTGGGTGGAGCTCTTTATATAAAGTCAACAGCCATGTATTGCCCACAGGTATGCAGTGAGCTAGTCAACCAGGGCTAGGTGAGAATCCTGGCCACAGGAACTCTCATTTTATCCACAGTGGACATGCAACTAGATTGCCCCAAGTATCAGGCAAGCATTTGGCTACCTTCCTACAGCCACAATGGCAAAGTTTCTTGTCTGCCTACAGCTGGAAATAAAAGAACAATGTGTCCCTAGTTATAATTGTAGCTAGGTAAAAATTCATATTTGGGGGAGGAGATGTAGAAAACTCAAAAGTAATGTTAGGAAGGTGGGGTTATGTTTTGAAAAACAATTCTTATAAGTTTTCTTTGTTAAATTTGATTGTGTTTTCAGAAAGAAAGGGCTGGAGCACAGGAAACTGTACCTCCTGATCTGGGCAGTTGTCAGCCTGCTTTGAAAGTGGGGCTGGTAATCTCTCCACAGCTCTTCTTTATCATCTGTAGTGTGGTCTCTCCTCCTTATCATATCTGCTCCAGGACAGCTGCAATCTGAAAAGAAACCAGAGGAGGAAATGTGGGAGTAAGAACGAAAGACGTCAACTTTTAAAATGTTAGAATGAAGGCTTTGGAGCAGTCAATTCCAACATTTCTTTTCCCAAATAAAGCACCCTGAGAGTTGACTGTTTACTCTGAAAGAGGCTGTATAATAAATTCCCCAAGTAATGATTTTTTTTTGTGAAAAATATGTTCATAAATAGTTAAAGGGTTAGATTTAAAAACACTATGTAGTAATTGGATAACTAAAGACCAAAGCCTACTTGGAATCACTTGAAGGATGGTGAGTTAAGTTCTCAATTCACTCATCTGCTTTTAGTTAAGCATAAGAGGCCTTTTGCTGTAAAGAATGTGTCATTTTTAGAGTGAGCAGTAAATAAAAATTTGTGAAGCTTCATATCTTTATATATACAGAAACGATGATAGAGGAGAGGAGAAAGGGAAAGAGGGAGAGAAAAGAGCAGAGAGCAAAGAAGTCACAAGAGCTGGGAAAGGGAAAAAGAAAGAAAGAAAAATAGGAAGGGAAGCATATTGACCAAGAACCAATTTGAATGCTTGCCTTATCTGGGCTCCCTGGTAAGGGAAGCTGACTGCATGACCCTGCCACTTGGGGCATCCGTGATTGTGCAGGCTGGGTTCTGGCCCAAAGGCGATCAACCCACAGACTCACTAACAGCTTGTGAGAACTGACTCAAGGTGCCATATTATTAGATCCTTTCTCGGCAACTGGAATGCAAGGCAACAGATTCAGTCAACAGTTCACAGTAGGGATAGAAGCTGAAAGATGGTCAGGTAAGGTAGCAGAGGCAATGAGACAGCCAGAAAAGTGGAGAGTGACAAGAATTCTAGAAGCAGTACAACAGATGACTGATGCTGATGGGTGCAAGATAACCTACCTAGTCATTAAAGCTACACTGGATGCTTATAGCCTGTTTGCTTTCAAACTCAAACTCTTTGAGATATAGCACTAGGGGTGAACTAAATGTGGGTGGTGGGAGAAGCCCCACCCAGTTACAGGCATTCAAGTATGCATTTTCTGAGAATTTATAGTAATGATGATGATGATGATACTATCAGCTTGCTTGTTATTGTCACCAACATCTGGCACTCCTAAGCAATGTTAATGATAAAATAAATACTCCTCCCAGGAAAATCTTGATATTG